GAGAGAGAGAGAGAGAGAGAGAGAGAGAGAGAGAGAGAGAGAGATGATTGGGAAAACTCATTAAGCCTTTTGCGGTGTCTTTTCACGGTATTGGGGCGGATAAGGGGGCACGCAAACGCACACGCACACACACAGACGGAGGGTATCACCCAAGTTTTTATGGTCTTGCGCTTTGCTGTTGTGTGTTGTTCGTCTACCTTCTCGAAAAGATAGATTTGAAGTGGTGTATAACTTACTGAGTATTCAGTCAGTATAACTCACGTCTTCATGTACATGGATCTAATTATCTTTATTTAAATTGAACATATTATTCTATATTTCATGCATAATCAATTGCTCACACCTCGTCGAGAGAAAAGGAGTCGAGACAAAGAATCTAGCCCCTCTTGTATCTCTTGCGTGTCCTCCTACATTTGATTTTCTTGACGTGGTACCCCAGCCCCAACGAAAGGAACTGAGCAGGACGAGAACGACGAGGATATGTGTCCGTCTATGGAGATTGGTACTTTGTCGTTTTCGGTCTGTATGTTCCTGTCCCTTGCTGGCTAATTTCTGCTGTAGGGTTCGCTGTTGTGTTTCGAACTATCGCTTGGGGTTTTGAGTTTGCTTTGCTTCTTGATCGATGGATGTCTAAGAACGCTGTCTGGTCATGGGTCTGCAGATTACCCATCAGCAGCGGATCCCCTGCTGAGGATATTACATCTTGAGGAGGTGGTCTGAACTCCAGAGCATGAAGAGCAGAGGACTTGAGAATCTGCTTTGCTTCATGACTATGGAAGCGACTGGAAAGAGTGGATGAGGAGGCTCTATTATTCTCCAACCGACCTACGGCAATTTCATTTTGGTCCCTAACCCCATATAGACAGTCTCAACCCTTGTACGGTGAAAATGAGAAGGTGAAGGGGAGGACATAGCGTTTGCTATACGAGTGGGTGTCACTAAGGCATCCCCTTCTGACACAAGAAAGCGAACCCGACACGCCTGCTACTGAACAAGAGTCAGCAATACAGCCAGAAGTTGGAGGAGCATCCGTACCACTCAGGATTATCGGCAAGAACAAGAGCAGCAGTATATGTAGCAGTGAAGCCACAAGGTGAATTGTCCGTAACGGAGCGGTAGGAGTGGTGAGGTAAACGATTTGGCGCATGATTTGGCTGTCAGCTGCCACAGTCGCAAGGGAGGACTTTTTTCCTTAAGGTATTCGCATATGTTATGGATACTATGCATAGTGAAAGAAATATTTTGGGGATCATCTGCAGGGCAGCGGAAACCGAAGGAAATTCTTGGCGCGACCAATGTCGTGGAGCGGCTAAGGGGACGGCTGAAAACGACTGGCGCTCTCTCTCTCTCTCTCACACACACACACACACACTCCTTACTCACACATAAGCATGATTCATACGTTGATTTTAATGTTGAGGATGCGTTGGGCCGCGAAATTTGTGTGCCTCAAAAAAGTGTGTGTGTGTGTGTGTGTGTGTGTGTGTGTGTGTGTGTGTTGGGGCGCGAAATTTGTGTGCCTGAAAAAACTGTTGT